GATTGAAATATATCAAATCTATTTCAGTGCATTAGGTCAGACTGATACTCTAAAACAATGCTAGGGAACCAACTCATAATTTTAAAAACTGGAAAATAAAAAAGAATGAAGTATCTTTATCTCACGTTCCTTTTTTTTAAGATTTTATTTATTTGACAGAGAGAGAGAACACAAGCAGGGGGAGTGGCAGGCAGAGGGAGAGGGAGAAGCAGGCTCCCTGCAGAGCAGGGAGCCCGATGCGGGACTTGATCCCAGGACCCCGGGATCATGGCCTGAGCCGAAGGCAGACGCTTAACCGACTGAGCCACCCAGGCGTCCCCTTTATCTCACCTTTCATATGCATATTGTTCTTAAGGTTATCCACATAACTAATAAGAGGACATTTCCTTTTTTTACAGAAGTAGCCCAGTTAATAAATGGAGAAGAAATGATAGAGTGTCATAATTTTATTATCCTTGGTGAAAAACTGTAGCTAGGATGGGATCTTAAGTGGCTGTTAGCCTCCCCAAAATAGAGCCAAGCAGACAATAATTGCCTCCTGATGGCATGTATACAACACCACATATGAAGTATTCTTGTGAAAAACCTAACTAAAGTCTATTAAGCCTCTAGCTCTAAATAATAATTCACAGAAAATACAGAGGATAAATACACACTAAATGACACAATGAGAAAACCCAGACTATGGAAAACTCTATAGGACAGACAACCCAGAATTGCTTCAACAAATGCATTGAAAGAGAAGGAGGGAGATGCCCTGGATTAAAACACACCTAAAATATATCAAACAATTGTAGTGTGTAGAACTTATTTGGATCCCAGTTTGAACAAACAAACCATAGCAAAAGCGTTCATGATACAATTGGGGGAAATCTGAACACCGACCGAAAGGTTGATGCTATTAAAATTATTATAAAAATTATAATATTGGTATTCTTGTTATGGTTTTAAGAAGTAGCCTTATCAGGCGCCTGGGTGGCTCAGTCGTTAAGCGTCTACCTTCGGCTCATGTCATGATCCCAGGGTCCTGGGATCGAGCCCTGCGTCGGGCTCCCTGCTCAGCGGGAAGCCTGCTTCTCCCTCTCCCACTCCCCCTGCTTGTGTTCCCTCTCTCGCTGGGTTTCTCTCTGTCAAATAAATAAATAAAATCTTAAAAAAAAGGTGGGGCCTTTGGGAGGTAAATGGTTTTAGATGAGGTGATAAAGGTATAGTCCCACGATGAGATTGGTGTACTTATAAGAAGAGACAGGAGACAGATAGAGCTATGCGAAGATACAGCAGGAAGGCAGCCATCTGTAAGCCAGGAAGAGGGCTCTCACCAGGAATAGAATCGGCCAGCACTTGGATCTTGGACTTCCCAGCCTCCAGAACCATGAGAAATAAATATCTGTTGTTTAAGCTACCCAGGCCGACGGAGACAATAATTTTATGTCTAACTTTTGAGGAACTGCCAAACTGTTTTCTATAATGGCTACACCATTTTACTTTCCCACCAGCAATATACAAGGGTTCCAATTTCTCTATATTCTTACCAACACTTGTTATTTTCTCTTTTTTTGAGTACTTATAATGGTGGATGTGAAATGGTATCTCATTGTAGTTTTGATTTGCATTGGAATGATGCTGAACATCTTTTTGTGTGTTTGTTAGCCATTGGGGAGAAATGTCTGCTCAAGTCCTTTGAATTTGATTGTTTTTAAGTTGATTGTTTTTCTTTTTGTTGTTGAGTTTGGAAAGTTATTTCTGTACTCTGAACTAGCCCTGTATGAGAAATAGGATTTGAAAATATTTTCTCCAATTCTGTGGGTTGTCTTCTCACTTATTAGTTTCCTTTGAGGCACAAACATTTTTAATTCTGATGAAGTGCAATTTATCTACTTTTTTCCTTTTGTCAGTTGTGTTTTTGGTGTCATATTTAAAAAACCTGAATAATCCGGGATGCCTGGGTGGCTCAGTCGGTTAAGCCGCTACCTTTGGCTCAGGTCATGATCCCAGGGCTTGCGATCAAGCCCCATATCAGGCTCCCTGCTCAGTGGAAAGTCTGCTTCTCCCTCTCCCTCTGCCCCTCCCCACCACTTGTGCACTCTCTCACTCTCTCTCTCAAATAAATAAATACTGTTAAAAAAAAGAAACCTGAATAATCCAAAGTGAAGATTTATACATATATTTCATTCTAAGAAAATCATAGTTTTAGGTCTTCGAGCCATTTTAATTTTTGTATATAGTATGAGATAGGGGACAAAATCATCCTTTTGTATATGGATATCACTTGTCCCAGAAGCATTCATTGAAAAGACTAATTTTCTTCACTAAATGGTTGTGGCACCCTCGTAAAAAATCAATTGACCATAGTTGTCTGGGTTTACTTCTGGGCTCTAATTCTATTCCACTTGTCTATATTTCTATCCTATGGCAAGACCACACTCTTTTGATTACTATAGCTTTGTAGAATGTTTTGAAATGGAGAAATGGGAATCCTACATTGTTCTTTTTCAAATTTGTTTTGGCTATTTGGGGTCCTTTGCAATTTCATATGAATTTTATGACCAGCTCATCCATTTCTGAAAAAAGAAAAAAAGCAGGTGGTGTTTTGACTGGTCTCACATTCAATCTAGAGGTCAATTTGGGGAGTATTACCATATTAACACTAACACCCCTCAGCACTAATAAACCCCTAATTTACTTGCTGTCTCTCTTTATTTGCTTATGCTTGACATTTCATAAAATTTAACCATACAAAATGTGGCCTTTGTGCCTGGCATCTTCACATAACATAGTTATTTTTAATGTTCATCTATGTGGCAGCATGTATCAGTACTTTATCCTCTTTTATGGCTGTATAGTATTCCATAGTACGGATACACCATATTTTGTTAATGTATTTATCATTTGATGGATATTTAGGTATTTCCGTTTTGGAACTGCGGGCAAATGCTGAACATGGCTTATGATAGAGTAGATCTCAATCTTGGATTTTAGTTCAGTGGTGATTGGCATGCTGTGAACTAAAGGCATGAACTTGATTGTTATTAATTTTTATATCATATTGTTCCCTCTAGTCCCAAGTGGATAGAGCTATTATAGGAAATCCACTGGGGGGAATAACAAAATATGTCATTAAAAACATTAACAATGACACATGCAAAGACTGTATTACAGCATAGAAATTATTTCTGTTATAACGTCATGTGATTGATAGATATCATTCCAGCCCCAATTTCTGAAATGTCTACTGTGTTAGTTATATGTTATAGAAAGAGGCCTGGCAGCTCGAACCCTGATGGAATTTGCAGTCTAATAAGGAAAAGAAAGTATAAAATAAAATATTATGGGCCATAATAGATATGAAAAATTCCACTATTCAGAGGATCAAAAATGACACCAAAGTCAGATTTCTTTCTGCCTATGTTTTCTTGACCTCTGCTTTATTTTAACTTGGCTCTTTGTTATGTTGAGATATGGCTGCCCACAGTATCAGGAGCTCCTTATTTCTTTGAGCACATGCAGAAGAGGGGATTGCCTCTGAAACTCCTCCAGAACATGAAAGAAAAACTTTTCCCAAAGCCCCCAGGAAATTGCTACACTCACTGGCCCCAACTGGGTCATGTTCGTAGTCAGTCAATGGCAGGGAATGGGATTATGCTGATTAATTTAGATTTGAATTGTGCTAATTCGCTAAGATTGGAATCACACATATCAGAAGGGAGTCAGGGCAGGGATGTAACATTAAAGAACAGGAGGCGGTTACTAACAAGGAGAAGCAGATATTGGGGAAGTTACCATACGGTCAGTCTGCCTCAGGGTCTTGGTTTACACCATTGATATGGAAATTCCCACCCCCAAGCTACAATCGCCTTCCCTGCCGGACACTTTCTTTTCTTTCTTTTTTTTTTTTTTTTAAAGATTTTATTTATTTATTTGACAGAGAGACACAGCGAGAGAGGGAACACAAGCAGGGGGCGAGGGAGAGGGAGAAGCAGGCTCCCCGCGGAGCGGGGAACCGGATGCGGGGCTAGATCCCAGGACTCGCCGAAGGCAGACGCTTAACCACGGAGCCACCGAGGCGCCCCCGGACACTTTCTTTTGTAAGGAATTATATCCATATATTTTCCATTGACTCTACCTCCCTGTTTTCATCCAATTCAGAGTACCAAGGGCTCCTTCTTGTCATGGTGCTGCCCTCAGCTCTGGCTGTTTCCTTCAATTTATTACTCTGGATGTGTCTTCTTTCTCCGCACTGCCTCTTCTGCTTGGGTCTTACCGGTTCTACTGCATTCACTGACCGAAAAACTGCCTGGTTGTCAGTGGAGACGTCCTTACTTCCATCCCTGAATTGAACATAATAGAGGTCTAGTAATGTTTTCTTTCTCCGTTTGGGGCTTCTTCCTCAAGCCAAGTTCAAAACTTGGCCAGATAGTGGCTATGTGACAACACCTGTCTGGTTCACCTCTGTGAAATGAAAAGGATTGTTCTGGTCCATTTCCACGGACTGGTTCCACTGCGAAATTCCGTGGAGCATTCCGAACAGGATTCGGATGGGAGGACATGATTTGTGGACAGGGAGGGGGTTGAGTGATTGTAGTGTTTGGAAACATGAAGCCCACGCTGCTTTGTGGAATTCAAGGGCGGTTCTGCCCTTTATTCTGCATTGGGTGCCGCACCGAATTTGACCAACCAAAACCTACTCGGAGAGTGGGCCGAAATGGGCCGACAGGGCCTGGCCTCCCTTCCCCCACGCGCCCATCTTCAGCGCGGAGCGCAGCGCAACCTTGCGGGGCAGTAATCTCCAGCATCCAGCGCAGCTTGCTGGGGGACGACAGCTAGCCGTGGCATGGGCAATGGATCCAGATGCGGCCGCAGCTGCTTCTCCTTCTGGCTCCGCTTCGGGGCGGAGTAAGGAGTGAGAAGAGCGGGAGGCAGGCTGTGCCCACGCCCGCCGCGCTGCGTTCCCCAGGGGGCCTGCATGCCTCTCCCGCCAGCCCTCCCTCCCTCCCGCCACTGAGGGCTTTGTCCCGGCGCGCACAGCGGTTTCTCCCGGTTCCCGCCGGCTCTTCCGCGTCCCCCCACCCACCCTACTTCCTCCGCGCAGGTGACGCCAGCGAGCTGGGGACTAAGGGGTTAACTAGGGGCTTTTCCAGGCATAGAGGGCGCCAGAGCTGGAGCCGTGGCCAAGCCCCGGGCTAAGACCGCCCCAGGGAACAAATGCCCGCCCCAGACCCACCAGTTCAAGTCCCGGGGGGGGGGGGGGGGGGCGGTCACTTGGTCCTGGGAGGAAGGGGCGGGCTGGGAGCACCCTCCGCCCTCGCTCGGACCCAGAGCCCTTTGGCGCAAAGTAAACCCAGCCAAGGGGAACTTTAATCCCGGTGGCTGGATGCGGCCAGAGGGTGGCAGGCAATTTCAGGCGGGGGGAGGGGCGCCCCTGGCCCGCGCTCCTCCGCAGGGTGCCGAACTCGGAGTCAGCCCCACGTTGGCGAGCTGAGCGGGGCGGCGACTCACGGTCACGAGCCCGCGGGCGGCTGCCGGGGCTCCCGGGCAAGTGGGAGAGCACGTGGCTTTGGCTCGCAGCGGGCTTCGTGGGCTCGGCGCGTCCAGGGCTAGTCGCTCGCGGACAGGGCAGCAAAGGCAGGAGGGGGCCCGGCGAGAGTGACACTAGTGGTCGGTGTCTCTGTTTTCTTTGTAACAACGCGCCTTGGACCTGCAGAGGGGAGCTTTGCGACTGCACACCTGCCTGGGGATGTAAGGCGGATGTAACGCCTCAGACGTGCGCCCTGCAGCTTGTCAATTCCATCCTCGCGGGGCCAACGGGTCACTTCTCGTCTCTCCTCGCCGCCCAGCTGGCGGGACGCCGAACTGAGCCTTCACCCGTCCCGGGCTCTGCCGCCTCCTGTTCACACTGCTTTGGGAAGGAGTAGGGGACATTGGAAGTCAGCCCAGCGCCCCCAAGTTTATGCCTCTTTCCTGACGCCCTGCCTCATCTCCCCACTCTCCACTTTGGGCTTTGGAGGTCTCCTACTGAGCCCCTCTTCGCAGCGTTTGGACCTCCTAGAAGTGGCCAAAGATGAATCCCAGCAGCAGCGCATGGGATCAACAAGCAGCTGAGCGACCTGCTCGACTTTAGTGCCCTTTGAGAATTTTCCACGGCATCTTGGACTTCTGCTGAGGTTTACAAAAAGAGAAAGAAAGAAAAAGCGGGGGGGGGGGGGGGGAAGGCGATGTGTAGACTAGGTAGCGTGAACTCCATCTACTTTGGGTGGTAGTTCCTGGGGCTGGAGTCCAGCTTCCCCAAGCTGGACATCTAAATTTGGATGTAATGTCTAGACTTGCAGATTTAAAATGTGAATGCTAGAGGGGTCATTTGATTTAACCAGTTAAAAAGGATAAAAGTGTAATCATGAGTCACCCTCTGATCCTGCTGTTTATTAGGAATTTAGGGATCAGGTTTTATATGCAAAAAGAATATTAATTTTTTTCAACATCCCTTTCCATTCCCCTCCCAAGATCAGATTAATAATGGTTTATGATACCTGAAATGTCAGTTATAGGAAAGCCAGTACAGGGCTGGAATTTCCAGCCGTTTGAGCTGGGCACTTTTATTTTAAGACTGCTTTGGAATTTGCGGGGAAGGGGGGAATAACTTAATGACTTAAAAAATATATATCAACTCAAACCAGAGGGCCTGCCCTTACTTTTAATGGGTTGAATTTTGTTGTTAAGTGCTGGGTAGGAGGCAAGACCAATACCTGCTCTATAGAACTGTGTTTTTGGTTTTTTTTTAAGATTTTATTTATTTATTTGACAGCAAGAGAGACAGCTTGAGAGGGAACACAAGCAGAGGGAGTGGGAGAGGGAGAAAGCAGGCTTCCCGCTGAGCAGGGAGCCCAATGCGGGGCTCCATCCCAGGACCCTGGGATCATGACCTGAGCTGAAGGCAGACGCTTAACCACTGAGCCACCCAGGCACCCCTAGAACTGTGTTATAATGAATCTTTCCTGCGGTAGAGTTATTGAACACGATTTTGACTGCATCTGTGTAAATGTAAATGTAATGAAATTTACTTTTTTCCAAAGCGAAGATCATAGGTTAACTTTACAATTTAAACTTAATCTTAAGGTCTCTCATCTAAGTGACGAGTTTTCTAGAATAGAACATAACTAATATTTCCAAGTGGTGTTAGGAAATAATATCAATATAGTTGCCTTATATTTGTGGACTATTATTTAAAATGTTACTGAGTGATATAAATGAATAGAAATTTATATGTAAAGTTAAATTAGGTTTTATTCCTGTAGTAGTGCTGTCTTTAAGTTTACTTAAATGTATATTTATGACTAATTTCCATTCTTAAACATTTATCCCATTTGTGTCCCTTGTTTTCCTAACTTTTAAAACTCGTAATTTTTTATAAACACTCCGAAAGCAAGGTCCATTTTATCTCAAAAGGAGGGTATGAGAATTATATACAGGAAGCTTTTTAAAGTGTTTAGCACAATATCTGGAATTTATTAAGCACTCTATAAGCATTCGTTCCTCTTTTTCTTCTCTTCCCATGAAAAGTTACAAATTGATTTTGATACAAAACCCATATTAGGAACTCTTAAAAGTCTTGGATGCTCCTTAGAGAGGCAGCTGTTTTGAATTCCTACAGTTTGTCCTGAACAAGATGATGCACCTGTTATCATTATTAAGTGCTCAACAAGAAGTTATGTGAGTCAGAAAAATTAAACTCTCTTTATAAAATTGAGGTCACTGGAGAAGTTCACCACATTAGAGCAACTTTGGTTTTGGAAATTATTGGAGGGAAAATTGGGGCAACCCAGATTCTTACGACAGAATGCAGATTCTTAGAAGATTTAGTTCCTCAAATCTTTTTATTTTTTAATTTTTAAAAAGATTTTATTTATTTATTTGAGAGAGAGACAGAGAGTGAGAGAGCACGAGCAGGGGAGAGAGGCAGAGGGAAAGGGAAAAGCAGGCTCCCTGCTGAGCAGGAGCCCCTGTGCTCAATCCCAGGGCCCTGGGATCATGACCTGAGCTGAAAGCAGACCCTTAACCGACTGAGCCACCCAGGCACCCCTCCTCAAATCTTTTTAAAATGAACAGGGAGGGCGCCTGGGTGGCTCAGTTGGTTAAGCGACTGCCTTCGGCTCAGGTCATGATCCTGGAGTCCCTGGATCGAGTCCCGCATCGGGCTCCCTGCTCAGCAAGGAGCCTGCTTCTCCCTCTGACCCTCCCCCCTCTCATGTGCTCTCTCTCTCTCATTCTCTCTGTCTCAAATAAATAAATAAAATCTTTAAAAAAAAATGAACAGGGAAATGTTTACCTTACAGGGTAGTTATTAGACCTAAATGAGCTTATGTATGCTAAGAGCTTGTTGTGATCAATAATGTCCTTTTTGTGATGTAATTTTGTTTTCATATATTTGATTTTTATTTTGAGAATAACAAGCTTGAAATGATTTCCCCCAACATATTGAACTGATACTTATGATAGATATTCAGTGTTACCCAACTGAAATAATTATTTATTTACCTATTTCTTAAAGCACACTCCACCCCAACATGGGGCTTGAATTGAGTACCCTGAGATTAAAAGTTGCATGCTCTACTGAGCCAGCCAGATGCCCCTGAAGTAATTATTTTAATGTGGTTATGTCATAATGTGTTTTTTTTTTTTTTTTTGCAGGGAGCAGAGCATTTTCTTGGCATTTACTATAGCTAATTATTTAGAGATTATGCAACAACACACCAGCTGTCCTGAACCAAATATCTTCTCTGCATTGGTGACTACTTTCCTGTTTCCTTGTTGTGAGAATACTGTTCTTAATTTTTCTCCAATCCTGTCTCCCTCCCCTAGATCACTGTTCCTCAGTATCTTTTTTCCCAACTTGGAGTCTTGTTCTCTTCTCTTGGATATCTGTACTCTTGTTATTGGGCTGTTCACATGGAAGTCCTTCCCCCACCCCAAGTCCTTTTATTCGTGGAACATTTACTGAGATTCCACTATATTCTAGTCACTGGAACTACCTGGGCAAAACAAAAATTATCCATCCACATTCCCTGGGCAGAGGGAGTGCTCAGTCTAATGGGGAAGACAGATTACTGTACTATATGATGATAAGTGCTATAATAGAGACAGGCCCTGGAGTAGTGGAAGCACAGAAATAGAAAGAGCACTTGCTTATGAAACCTTCAAGACTTATCCCATATCTAATGAAAATGATAATCTGTTGCATAATACAAGGAGCAGAGAATTTATGCCTGGAGACATCATTAGACAAGTGGTCTTGGTCAAGTGAGTTACTGTCTCTGAGTATCAGATTCCTCACAAGTATAGCAAAAGTGATGAACAGAATCATGGTTTCCAAAGTGTGTTTCATAGAATATTACTAATGTTCAAATAAAGAGCTCCATGATCAAATACATTTGTGTATTACTGGATTAAACAAAATTAAAGAGATTTGTTTATTGTTGGATTTCTCAGTTTTTAAAAAAGATTTATTTATTTGTCAGAGAGAGAGAGAAAGCACACACAAGCAGCAGGAGCAGCAGACTCCTCCCCAAGCAAGGAGCCCGATGCGGGACTTGATCCCAGGACCCTGGGATCATGACCTGAGCCTAAAGCAGATGCTTAACTGACTGAGCCACCCAGACATCCCGTATTTCTCAGTTTTTAATTGGTTATTTTACATTATAAATATTTAAGAGAGGAATATAATTCTTCACATTTTTTTTAACACCATGGAATCCCTCTATATCAGGAATTAAGTTTAACTGCTGCATAACAGCTTCAAGAAGTATTTTAATACCTGTAGGTCTATAGTACACTGTGAATTTATTTTTATATATGACAAAATGAATCAAACTTGATTTTTTTGCATAAGGTTATCCAATTTTGACAGCATCATTTGTTGAAAATATTATCCTTGTCACTTTGGTCAAAAATCAGTTGACCATATATGCAACCTGGACCCCCTATTCTGGACCCTCTATTCTGTTCTTTGTTTGTTTGTTTGTTTAGTAATCCATTATGTTTTATTATTAATACATCTTGGATTTTACCCTGCCCTTTTACCAAGGGTATTACCATTTTGGAAAAATCTAAACAACAGACATATCAATCAAAATAATCCTGCAGAATCTTTCTGAAATGATCTAGAGAAGACTATCTAATGATGTTCGCTGGTCCCAGGATACAGAATCTGTGACTTCCTGGAATTCTAGAAATACAGCCATATGCTGAGGGTATTGATGCAAAATGTTCAGCAGCTTTTCCAATGTATCTCAGGCAGCTTTCATCATTTGTGTGAAAGAAGTGCCTTCACCTCAGGGAAGAGATCCAGTGCAGATTCAGTATCTTGAGGTGGCAAGTTCAGGGCAGGGGACAAAGGCACCATGCCGTCCATGAGTTCCAGGGAGAGCAGCCTATGGAAAGAGAAGCACCAAGACGTGGATGCTGCTGGCTGATGGCTTTAGCAGCCCCATTACCCTTCCTGTGATGTCCAGGGTTAATGAGATCCTGGTCCCATCAGGGCTAGGCATAGATGCATGAAAAAGAATCTGGCTGTGGTTTTTCCTCTTCAGAATAACATCTCAGCCACCACCTCGGCTGAGGATCTATCCATCTGCTCCTTGGTCAGCACAAAGCACCAGCCGGCAACCTGGTGCTGCCTGGCGTCTTCGCTCACCATTGGCTCCCCATAGAGGTATATGCCCATGCCCTGATCCTCCTGGAGGAATCTCTCCACCTACGCTTTTGCGCATTTGTGCTTAACAATGAGTTCACACCACCAATGGCGACCCTCGGCATCCTGTTGGGGGAGGTGGTGTGTCCTCTTGAGGCTTTGCAGAGTTTGGGGGTTCAGAGTCTTCTGCTCCAAGAGATGCTCCAGAAGCAAGACAAGCTGGTCTGGAAGGGGCTTTTCAAACACTTCTTCTGCCTCCCTTCATTTCCGTTATTGGGGTCTCCGTTTCACTTGAATCCATTTCTCCACCTAGGCGCTCACTTGCCCCGGGAGCCCGCACTCCGCCCGGGTCTGGCACTCCCTCTGCAGGGGCTCCTCCGTGGAAGGTGAGGGTGGGAGCGAGGGCCCCACCCTCCGCGCCTAGCGCCTGACCCTGGCCAGCCTGGGAGAGAGCAGTGGACCCTTTATTCTGTTCTATTGATCTATAGGTCTATCTTGGCTATACTACTGTCTTGATTACTGTACCTTTATAAGAAATCTGGAAATCAAGTGGTATGTCTTTTAACTTTGTCATTATTATTCAAAATTGTTTTTGCCTATTCTAGGTTCTTTGCATATCAATGAGGAGTTTTAGAATCAGCTTGTCAATTCTTGCAAGAAAGTGTCCTAGGATTTTGATTGGTATTTTGTTCAATCTATTCATCAATTTGAAGAGGATTGACATTAATACCAAGTCTTCTAATTCTTTTTTTTTTAAAGATTTTATTTATTTATTTGAGAGAGAGAATGAGATAGAGCATGAGAGGGGGGAGGGTCAGAGGGAGAAGCAGACTCCCTGCCGAGCAGGGAGCCCGATGTGGGACTCGATCCCAGGACTCCAGGATCATGACCTGAGCCGAAGGCAGTTGCTTAACCAACTGAGCCACCCAGGCGCCCACCAAGTCTTCTAATTCTTGAGTATAGTATATCTTTCTATTTAAGTCTTCTTTAATTTCTCTTAGTAATTTTTTTGTAGTAGAAAAAGGCCTAGCCCATTTTTCACCTAGTTTATTTCTAAATATTTCGTATTTTTGATGCTTAAAAAAATTTTAATGTCCAGTTATTCATGGCTAATATATAAAAATACAACTGACTCTTGTATGTTGACTTTATATCCTGCAAACTTGCTAAACTCACTTATTAGTTGTTGTGGCTTGTTTATGCATTCCGGAAGATTTTCTGTTTTGCCAATTTATTATCCATGACTAATGAGAGTTTAATGTTTTCCTTTCCTTAAGGTTTTCCAGTCTAGATGTATTTTTTTTTTTAACTTACTGGCTTGGCTAGAATTTCCAGTATAATATTGAATGGAAATGGTAAAAGTGGATAGCCTTGCTTTATTCCTGATGTTAGGGGGAAAGCATTTAGTCTGTCATCATTAAATGTGATGTTAGCTGTAGGTCTAATGAGATGATGATATGGTTTTTCTTTATTCTTTTGTTAATGTGGTGAATTACAGTAATTTTGATTGTTCAACCTACTTTAAATTCCTCAGATAAACCTTCATTTGGTCATGATGAAGTATCCTTTGTACACATAGTTAGATTCAATTTGCTAAAATTTCACAAAGAATTTTTGCATCTCAGTTTTTGAGCAGTATTGGTCCTTGTTTTCTTTCTCATAATGTCTTTAATTTTGGTATCACAGTAATGCTTGTCTTATAGAATGAGATGGGAAGTATTCTTTTTTTTTAAGATTGTATTTATTTATCTGAGAGAGAGAGAATGAGAGAGAGCACATGAGAGGGGGGAGGGTCAGAGGGAGAAGCAGGCTCCTTGCTGAGCAGGGAGCCCGATGCGGGACTCGATCCAGGGACTCCAGGATCATGACCTGAGCCGAAGGCAGTCGCTTAACCAACTGAGCCACCCAGGCACCCGAGATGGGAAGTATGCTATTATCTTCTATTTTCTGGAAGAGTTTGTATAGAATTTTAATTATTTCTTAAATGCTTGGGGAATTCATCAGTGAAGTCATTTGGGCCCAGAGTTTTCTTTGTGGGAAAGTTTTTAACTACAAATTTTTAGAAAATATTTATTTATGAATTTGAGAGAGAGAGTGCATGTGCATACGCAGGGAGGTGGGGGGCAGAGGGAAAGAATCTCAAGCAGACTCCCCGCTGATCAGGGAGCCCAACCAACGTCTGGCTCCATCTCACAATCCTGAGATCATGACCTGAGCCGAAATCAAGAGTCTGACGCTTAACTGACTGAGCCACCCAGGTGCCCCTACAAATTTTTGTAATAGTAATGGGACTATTCAGGTTATTGATTTCTTCTTGAATGAGTTTTGATAGTTCATGTATTATAAGAAGTTTGTCCATTTTTCCTTTTAATCAAAGTTCACAAATTTATTAGCATGAAGTTGTTGATACTATTTCCTTATTTTAACATTTGTACTAGTTACCTATTTCTACATAACAAATCACTGCAAACTTAACAGCTTAAAACAACAGGCATTTGTTATTTCACAGATTCTGCAGATCCAGAAGGCACAGCTTAGTTGGGTCCTCTGTTTGGGGTCTCTCACAAGGCTGTAACCCAGGGCCAGAGTCTCATCTAAAGACTTGACTGGGGGAAGGATTCACTTCTAAACTCACATGGTTGTTGGCAGGATTAAGTTCTTTGTGGGCTGTTGGACTGAGGGCCTCGATTTTCTGTTGGCTGTTGGCAAAAGGTTGCCCTCAGTTCCTTGCCATGCTGCCTTTCCAACATGGCAGCTTGCTTTATTAAAGCCAGCAACAGAAAGACTATAACAAGATGGTAGTCATAGCTTAGTCATGGAAGTGATACCACACTACCTTTTTTGTATTTTATTGGTTAGAAGCAAGTCACTACCTCAGACCACACTCAAGGGGAGAGGATTACACAAGAGCATGAATCCCAGGAGACAAGCATCAATGGGGACTATTTTAGAGTCTACCTGCCACAATATTTGTAGGATGTATAATTTATGCTCTTCCTCTCAATCCTAATATTGGTTCATTGGGTCCTTTTTTTTTTCCTGGTCAGTATGTCTAGAAGTTTATCTATATTATTGACATTCTCAAAGAACCAATTTTCTTTCTTTCTTCCTTCCTTCCTTCCTTCCTTCCTTCCTTCCTTCCTTCCTTCCTTCCTTCCTTCCTTCCTTCCTTCCTTTCTTTCTTTTCTTCTAATTTTCAGTGTGTTTGAATTCTGTCACCTTTACTTTGGATTTAAGTTTGCTTACTTTAAGTTTAATTTGCTCTTTGTCTTCTAGCTTCTTGAGGTGAAAGTTGAGGTCATTGTTTCAAGATCCTTAATGTTTTCTAATATAAGTATTTACTGCTATAAAATTTCTTTTAACTATGGGTATAACTGCATCCCACAATTTTTGCTGTTTTCTTTTTCTTTTTAAAAAATATTTTATTTATTTATTTGACAGAGAGCACGAGCAGGGAGCAGGGAAGCAGCAGGCAGAGGGAGAGGGAGAAGCAGGCTCCCCGCTGAGCAAGGAGCCTGATCCCAGGACCCTGGGATCATGACCCGAGCCCAAGGCAGCTGCTTAACAACTGAGCCACCCAGGCACCCCTTTTGCTGTTTTCATATTCATTCATTTCAAGATGCTTTATAATTTCCCTTTTGATTTCTTCCTTGACCCATGCGTTATTCAAAAGTTTGTTATTCAGGGCGCCTGAGTGGCTCAGTCAGTTAAGCCTCTGCCTTCAGCTCAGGTCATGATCCCATGGTCCTGGGATGGAGCCCCACATTGGGCTCCCTGCTCAGTGGGGAGTCGGCTTCTCCCTTTCCCTCTGCCCCTCCTCCCCCCTCCCCCCAACTTATGCTCTCTCTCCTATCTCT